GTGGGGCCGTGTGGAGCCATGCCAACATCAAGTCCGGTATGGTAATGGTGAAGAGGAACCCATGATTGGGGCTGTCACCCTTCCGGTGACGGTCCAAGGTGCAAATATGCCAATGAAGGCGTATGTTTTGGATGGCAAGGGCCCTCCACTCATCATGGGCTTCACTTTTCTTGAAGCTAATCAGTTGTTGGTCGACTGCACTGAGCGCACCCTCATTCAGAAGGCCAATGGCGGCCAGGACAAGTGCCTTCCAGTCCAAGATGCCTGTCAGCTTACCCATCTGCAGGGAGACAATCTCGTGGTTCAGCGGTTTCCAGTGGAGGGTTGTCTGCCACCACTCCCCAAGAAACATTTTTCGGGGGATGCGGCATACGACTTTTTCGCGCCCAAGGAGCTTCGTATTCGCCCCGGTGAGCGCACAACCGTTGACACTGCAGTCGCTTGCTACTTCCCTCAAGGGAATTGGTGCCTCTTGAAAGAGCGCTCGGGTCTTGCTCATCGCTATGGCATCCAGCTCTTGGGCGGGGTCATTGACGGGAATTACCGTGGCCGCCTCAAGGCCATTCTGCTAAACACCGGTTCGGAGGTGGTCACCATCCCTCGTCATGCTGCTTTTTGCCAGGGCGTTTTACTCCCTTGTACGTCCCATCCTGTTACTCCTGGGACAGTTGCTATTGCAGGCGAACGGGGAGCCACGGGTGGTGTTAATAGAGCGATCTCGGGAAACGGGAGGTGGCGCGGCCTGGGGGCGGCTGTGGGCCGCGGCTGAGTTCTTTTCAGTCGTCTACAGTGGGAGTAGCTGGGCAGGATGGGAGATCTTTTCTAGATTTTGTTGAACGCCCTCTTTACCCTCCTTATCGTAAGAATGGTCTTTTGTTTCTGCCATTGAATCGCAGTGTAGTCCTGGGGCCTTACGAAAGTCAGGGGATTAATATCCAATGCAAGTTTCCCGTGGGGTCTCTGCAGGAATATTTTGTGACGCTTCCCAACCGTCAGGTCACTTTCATTGTCAAAACTGATGGTGTGCGAATCTGGGGCGCACTCAAGAATTTCTCTGCTGAGCCACAGCAGTTGATGCCTCGCTACGATCTATTGGCATGTCGTACATCAGTTCAGTGGTTTCGGATTCCCGATAAGGGGGTGTTTTTGATCCCTGAGGGTCGCAAGGGTCGGGGGTTTTGTCAGGCAATGCAGGGGTTTCACGGAGATGTCGTTCATGCATTGGCTGCACCACCTAGATGGTTGGCTACCTTGCGCCACAAATATGCTGTTATTTTTGCAGATGGTCTTGGCACTTATCGCACTTATATTGTCCGCAGCTTCCCTTTTCGTTTTCCTCTCCCTTGGAAAACGCAACCTTCCAGCCGTATGACGGGACCAGCTGAGGAGGCCAAGGTATTGGAGGAGGTTTTGAAATTGGTGAAGTTGGGGGCTGTCCGCGAGGTGAACCATGAGCCATACATCATTCCGGCATTTGGGGTGCCCAAAAAGAATGGCTCAACTCGTCTTGTGCTGGATTTTCGGAAATTCAATTCTTATGTCCAGCACCAGCCTTTTCTTCCTGTCCATCGTGAGCTCTCTTTGGCAGCTTTACGTCCGTTCCGCATTGGATCAGCACTCGACTTGTCCAATGCTTATTTGCAAATCCGGCTTGCCCCATGTTTATGGCGTGCTATTGGGTTAACAGTGGCAGGGAGATTCTTTGAGTACATGCGTCTGCCTTTTGGGTACTCTAATAGTTCCCATGAGTTCTTGAGAGCGTTGTGGCCAACCATTCGCCGGGTGTCTAGTCGTATTCAGTCGCAGATCCTTTTTTATATGGATGACATTCTTTTATTGTCTCAGTCGGAAGCCCAACATCAGCAGGACTTAGCCATTTTATTGGAAGAGCTTCAACGGGATGGATGGCGGGTCAATTGGGACAAGTGCCAGTTCTGCCGGGATCGCTTTGAGTATTTGGGGGTGACCCTTACAACTTCTGGTTTGGAACCGACGGACGCAGTGTTGACTCAGTTTGAGCAAGCTCCTATGCCTACCACCCAATCAGGTTGGCGTCAAATTCGCGGCTGGTTGAACCACTCTGCTCGGTTCATTTGGCGGGGCCATCAGGTATTGGCAGCCTTGCGTGACGTCCAAGCACATCCTTCACTGGCTCGGTGGCGACAATTTCTTTCTTTGCTGCGCTGCCATTTTGTCAGATGTGCTATTCCTTTGGCGACATTACCTGGGTCTTTCACAGTGATCACTGACGCGAGTAAGCTTGGCTGGGGAGCGGTGCTACTGGCTGGGCATCGGATTATTCGTTGTGCGCACGGTTTGTGGCCAACATCTTTTCAGCACCATATGAGCAACGTCTTGGAGTTGGAAGCGCTTTGCAGAGCTCTTCAGACTTTCAGACCATGGATTTTTGGTGCACCTATTCGGGCCATCATGGATAACCAAGCTGCCGTGAGCTTCAACAATCCAGAACACTTGAGCGACTTCCTCAAGAGGCGCCTTGATCACCTTTCTCGGTACTCTCCGCAAATTTCATTTTGTCCAGGACCATTTAATTATTTGGCAGATTTTCTGTCTAGACAGGGGGCTTGGATTTTGGGACCGTCTCGTCTTCGCGCAGTGGAAGGACATTGCTCGGTCGTTACTCAGGCACAATGGAAGCAGGCCCATGCAGGGCATTTTGGAATCAGAAAGACATATCTTCGTTTTCGCCAGATGGGTCTGCGTCCAACATGGCAGTGGGTGACGGATAGAGTGCGGTCATGCAGGGTGTGTCAGTTGTTCCATCGACCGCAACCATCCAACCCGTTTGGCTGTTGGCATGTGCCGGAGAAGCCTGGCCAAGTCATTGGCTTGGATTTTATGGGGCCGTTTCCTGAGAAGAAGATAGGGAAGAAGCGATTTGTTCTTGTCATCGTGGACATGCTGACCAGATATGCGAGGGCGTGGGCTGTCACGGGTGCAGGGGGGACGGACATTGTGCAGGGGTTAAAGAAGTGGGCACAAACACGAGGGACACCTTCCATCTTATGTTCTGACGTCTGCAAGGCCACGCAATCCAAGGAATTGCAAAGGTGGTGCACACAGGAGGGAGTGACGCAGGAGTTCTCACCTCCTTACCATCACGCGTCTATTGGATTTGTAGAGCAGTTCAATCAGACACTTTTGAACCATTTGAGGCGCATGTGGGCTGAGGAACCCAAGTATTTCGCCAAGACTGTTGAGCAGGCCGTGGAGATCTATAACAACACGCCTTTGTCTTCGCCAGAAGAGAACAAGAAGACTCGCACCTCTTTCGCATTTGGATCGCCAAACCAATTGTGGAATAGTTCAAGGGCCGTGTGGGGCAGGCTACATGAGTACACACGTCAACAGCGCGCGAAGGCAAACCACAGGACCAGGGGAAGGCGTATCCAACGGACGTTTAGAGCGGGGGATTGGGTGTGGTTATGGAATACAAAAGTCGAAACACTCTAGGACAAGCTCGAGCCATGGTGGAAGGGTCCAGGGGTGTTGATTCGCCCCATAACGAATGCGGTTTGGGAAGTACAGGGGCCAGAAGGAAAGGTATGGGTTAGGCACACGGATATGTTACGGCCATATCGGGATGCCATTTGAAAAGGGATGAGTTTCCGGTGGGTGTATATTTGGCGCAGGGAAGCGTGTGAGAGCAAGCGAACGGTTAATGTATAATATATGATACATGGTGTGTTTTGATGGTGGGAAGTAAATACGGTGGACATGGTGTTATGGTGAATGTACATGGGGACAATGGAGATGGGAAAGTGAACATTATTGCAGTGATTGATATTTAGTCGATACACTCATCCTGTAATGAATCCGGTTACGGTTTTGCTTCCCGTGCCTGGGAGCGACCGTGCGAGCGTGTGCGAGACCGGTCAACCCGATAGTGACTATACCATAATTTAACAGAAGGGGGCAAGGGGCCACTCCCCTGGGTGGAGGGGGGGGAAGAGCCCCCTTCCCCCGGTGGAGACGGGCCAAGGGGAGGGGGTCCTAATTTCTGACACCTTTGTTTCAGTCACTGAACATGAGTTATCTCCTCGTAAATAAGGTGTTACACAAGCTTTCCGCTAATGAGTCGCGACCACAAACACCGTAGCGAAAAGTAAAATTTTCAGTCGTGCACACCCCAGTGGCCGCATGAGAGCAGAACACTGATATCCAAACAAAATAAGAGCTGATGACTGGAATCGTAATTCCTGGTCCGCCCTCAGCAAAAGGGGGCCTAAGTGGTCGGGTACGGGGGTTGCGTTACACTTCCCTGGCGAGCCAACATTAACCGGCGCTCAGGTGCCCCCATCTTATGCGGGGCACCTAACCTGCTTGCGTCATCGAGCGCTGCCACAGCGGTCTTCCCAGCGAAGCTGACCACGATCGCAGTGTGTGGCGCTACAACGTTATCTCGTCGGCTGAGTAGAGTTAAGAATGTGGACGTCTGCACCTGAGAGATTGAGCAGGACGAGGGAAATCCGCTGGGTTCCCTTAGCATCGCGCACTTTTAAGATGATGCGGAGTCTCGCCTCAGTTCATTAGAACTAAATAGAGACAAATCCGATTTACTTTGATTGTTATTCTGCCAGGGCCTCCACAGAGTGCCAAACTTCTCTTTCCTCCTTCCTGGGACTTAGCACTATTTTGAATTCGAACAAGTTGGGGGCTTTACACCGCCTTGGACTCCCTTGCTAGGTGGCACAAGGCCACCTATCCTGCAAGACGGGGGAGGCACCTGGGCGCTGAAATGTGATGTAATGTTCTGGAATCCACAAGAGAAGACGACGTGGAGACAAATGCTTTCATGCGGATAGCCAGCTTCACCTCAGGACAATCCCAAAACGAATAGCAACGATTGTGGGGTCAAGGCAAGATACTTGAGAGGATTCTTCACTGAAGGCTGACTTTGCAAGCGATCGTGAGCTGTATTTCGCTTCTCAGAAATCCAGTTCAAACAATCAATCAATTCAAACCGACCAGCACGCATGTCATACATTGTCCAGGGGATCCATAGTGGCGCCCGCTCTTGCCAGCATTTCAAAGGCGGCTTGGTGTCCGTAGGCATGAGCCAGCCTGAGCGGTGAGAAGCCCCACTGCACACACCACATCCGGAACTGATCCATTGCGCAAATCATCATTGCAAGCATCGGAAAAACAAATTGACAATGTGCCGCCCTCCACCCATTCAATCGAGTCTGACAAAGCGATACAGTACAAAGGTGCGACTGCCCATCTACAATGCCTTCAATCCGGCATTCAAGGATTCTGTTCCGGTTCCAGCATTGGCAACGAAACAATGGACAACTGCAATGGTGGCCATCTGATACATCTACTTGAATTATCTATGTAATTTTCTGCTTTTACTTTGAAGCACTTTTTTTCCATTCATCAGGAATTGGCTAACTTTCCACGAGGGACAGTATCGTGGACTGCAAGATTCATATCGCTATCCACTTGTGGATCTTGCCAACCACGTCGCCAGCCCGCTCATCAAGATCTCCAGCAAGGTCGCTTACTGTGCTGTTCGCTTTCTCATGGAACAAAAGGATTCGCGCAGACATGGTGGCACGGCTTACATGCTAGTCCAGTAGGGGCTGCATCTCCTTATGGCTCAACAATGTCGACTCGAACTAAACAAATATTGGGAACCTGTGGATGAGCTGAGCTGCATTGTGATGTGTTGCTATTGCTCACCTTGCCGGGCACATTGACTGGAGCATCTTTGTAGTGCTTGAAAAGAAGTTCCAGCACATCGGTCGATCCTCCCACTGACGCCCACAGCAGTGTGGTCCGCCGGCCCTGTTGATTGGCACAACACTTGCGACTTAACCACAATGCGTTTTTACTGGTTTACCACTGCAGAACATCCTGCTTCTGGTACTGTTACTGCTTATTGTGTGCCATTTCTGTTGACCTGTTCATTGCTACACAATCTTCACACTAAGGAGCGTGATTCTGACTAAACTTGCCCGGAAAGATGATACTTATTCTTGTTAACAGGGACATAGGCACGATGCAATAACATTTCAACAGCCTTATGCAGGTTGCCGTGTGCGTGACAACCAAAGAATGTTCGAACAGAACACATAATCGCGGTCCAGAAAATGCAATAAACAAGTCCTCACAACACCAATGCAATCAGCCAAGGGTTTGTGCTTGTGTGCCGCTGAACTTTGCAGAGGCAACATAATGGTGTGAGCCAGTGCAACACTGCGCAATCTGAGTGGAATATCGCGTGGCACAGTGCTTGGAAACATATTTTAAATGTCTCCTAAGTTCACACAGCATATTCAAGCCACTCGCAGCGGTATCCAAATTAGCTATTTCAGCAACCTGCTATCCTCATTGCAAGCTCTGCCTTCCAAGAGGACATAATTCAGTATACTTGAAGGTTTGCACAGCAGCCAAGCCGACAAACTCATAGCCGGCTTGCATCTTATGCACAGGTGGATGGCGATGTGGAGAGTGGGGATGACACAATAGAGTGCTACCTCCTTCGCTGTTACAATCGCTCTCAATGTGGAGTCATTTATATCCATGCTGCAAACATATACATGGAATTACATTGACCACACGCACCACGCAAGTTGCACGCTTCGCCATGTGACAATTTTGTGTGGATCCAGATTCAGTACTTCATTCTCATAAAGTACTGCGGTCCATAAGCCAGCTTTGCAAGATTCTTGAGAGTGCACGTTTGTGCATTCCCAAGCAAAAAATTGCCGAAAACTAGGCAATGGTGTGCGCACTATACCACAACTTGTCTGTCAGCCACTGCACCACTGGAATCCAGCATTTCCACCATACGTTGTCTGTGACGTCCACCTCGGCTCCTGCGTCCACCAGCATTTGGCATATGGCTAACTGCTTCGACCACACTGCATACATTATCGGCGTCCTGCCTTCCTGCATGGATCACAACTACGTAAGGATGTGTGCATGTCGACTTCGAAAATGAGCTCAGGCATACCATATTCACACGTTCGGCACATGGACTTCTGCGTGCCAATGTAACACAAGTGGCAGCGCCTTGTCCCTTTCAAGGCTAAATGACTTGCAAGCATTTGAAAACACAAGCCAAACGGATGAGTGCACCTTCTTGTGAAAAAGAAATCCATTGAGCTTGCCTTTATCACATTGTGACTAAACGTTCCCGTGTACAAGGCTATGTTGGGCACTGTCAACATTCAGAGTGGCAGTTGATTGCTTGTAGTTCCAGCTAGGTTGTGATGCGTCTTCTGAGAAAACGTTGTACATTCTCTTTCAGTGTTGGTGATTTCCAGCACTACATTCTCAAGGCTGCAGATGGCTGCTTTGAGGCATCTTCAATTACCGAGATTCTTGACAACCTGGGAGTGCACACAAATTTACTAATGTACTTCCTCCGTCCAAGATTAATTGCCCTCTATTTAAAAGATTAATTTCGTTACCTGAACCGCTTCAAAAGTACTAATATAGGTCAAAATCGAAAAGATTGGGTCCCAAAACCCTTGACTACCAATCTTTGTGAAAAAATATTTATCCCCACTACCTTTGGCGACCCCCTGAAATCGCCTATGATTTGGCCCAAAATTTTGCATTCTGATTCCGCGTCCATCGGAGATTCACGTGATTTTGGGTCGTTCCTACCCCAGGCTTGCCAAACCAAAGTTGTGCTTGCCCTCGCGGCGAAGGGCAGCGTCCTTCTCGTGCTTTAGCGCTTGCCATAACACGCTCCAAGCCCGTTGTCACAGCATCGACTATGGCAGAAATCGCTGACCTCCCGGATCTCCAATGCAAGGACTTGCAACAAGCAGAAAAGGCAAATGCCCAGCACGCTCAAGCTTGGGCTCTGTGCGTGCTATCGTTCTAAGGCTGTGCTACAACTTTTCTCTAACACAACACCTCGATTGATCTTTGAATCGAGGCCTTCGTGTGTGGCTGGGCCTACACTCCCAAAATTGGCACTAGCGGCCAACTTGAACGTGCAGTCCGCAACCCTTCCCAATCTGCATAGTCTCTACTTGTCAGAGAGACACAAAATGATCTATATGACCATTCGCATCGCGTTCCACCTTTTGAATTGTCGTGGCAAGGGTCGACTTTGCCATTCCCCAATCCAAGCCATTCCCCCAATCGTCCGCCATAGATTAGGGTGATGGCCATCACATTCCTTCGCACCTCTTCAAGGGGCTTAGGAGGCTTTGTGCGGTATCTCTCACAACAACGATGGAATTCATAAAGTCACGGCCCAGAAATCTGGGCTGGGAATGCAACCCCGAACTGGCCAATCGATCTCGAATTAGGTCAGCGAAGCCACGGCGACTTCCACGATCAAGCCCACCAAGACACGTTTTCTCCCACTTTGCTTGTTCGCAGGGACCCCTCCAAGCTTCTGTCCAAACGGCGTGGATAGTTTTGCATGGGCGGTCTTGTTTGGCCGCCGCAAAGTCGTGCTCCTCACCATCACGAAAACGGTTGTTTCGGTGACTTTGTTGAAAACCGGGTGGGTTTCTGGCGGGAGGACCCTACTACAAAGTGCTGCCAAATCCTCAATACTAAACGGATTGACCTGAAATTTTGACCGTATATTCCCGAAACATAGGCGTACCATTGGCAGAAATTTCATTGAAAAATGAAGTATTTGTGATGGAGATGTAGGGCGGCAAAGTCATAGAGGACAATTAATCTTGGACGGAGGAAGTACATTACATGGCAATAGCATGTGAGCGCCCACAAACGTAGAATGCTTCATGCCTTACAGGCCTGTGCTTTGCACGAAATATTTTGCAATCTACAAGACTTTGAACTCCAAAGAAGCTACAAGGGTTCCGTCAAGTGCACCGATGCCATGAACTTTTCGAGGCGCTTCTACAGGGGACACACTGCGCATCGCAACAGGGTCAAATCGCAAGTGCATGGGGGTGCGCACATCTTACATCAACAGACATCTCTAATAGAGAGCTACAGTCAATTGCTGACAAGATGACCAAGCATCTACAATCAGACTACTTTTAGATGCTTGTTGACAGGTCTGAACCTCAGCGGGCTCCATGTATTGGCAATGCTCCTGGCATGCTCATAGCTCACTGTGTTTTTGACTCTTAGGTACTCTTTTCTGTGGTATATTCCCCTGGATTGGGAAGCACTTGAGCGCACCTTGTCCCTGGCATTGACAGGAGCTTCTTTGTAACATTGCAGAAACAGCTTGACAACTTCCTTTGACGCCCCCAGTGCTGCAGCATGGAGGGTGCTCCAGCCGCCCTGGCACAAACAACACCTTTTACTGCTAATGGCTGCTTTTTGAACAATTCCTTTGCCACGATGCAGAGTCAAGTATGCCACACCCAACATGACTCTTGTGCTGCTTGACAATGAACAGAAATAATGAACATAACAGTAAACATAGGGAACGCTCATGCAGCGCATTTCAGCGTGGGCAGCACTTGGGCTGACTGCTTCAGATGCAGCTGCAAATGCTGAAAGAGCACATTCAAGCAGCTTCCATGGCAATATAGCTAGCTCAGCATAGTTTGCATCACCCTATCTAAACATGACAGGCATATGCACTTCTGCTTCCACTCCTGCAGCACCTTGTCCATTTCAAGCAGCTGCAACAAACATAGGCTGCAATCAATGCAGAGCAGCAGCTATCTGAGTTTGACAGCTGTTCCCTGGATTACAATTTGGGATCTCTTTTCCAACGTTTCTTGACTCCTCAACTCTTCCCTTCAGAGCACAGCACAGTGCTGGAGGTGCTGGAGGCAGAATCTCGAACTGGCAGTCAGAGAGTGTGTCATACCTGTGCAAAAACCTCCACATCAGCCCCTGCTTCTAGCAGCATCTTGGCAACTTGCGCATTCCCAGTTTCAGCCGCTTCCATGAGTGGAGTGCTGCCTTTCTGCAGTGCACGAAGTGGATCATAACGTCAATCGAAGCAAGCACAATTTCAACGACTGCAATTGCCAAAAACAAAAGCCACCGCCCTTCACCCTTGAAGTAAAATAGGAGTGTGAACCCAGACAAGGTTATTTGTTCTGCTCAAAATTTCTCACTGAATGAATACGTATTGGCAAGCCCTCCAAAGGTGTGATATCAACATGTGCACCTGATGTATTGCAATTCGCAACTCTACACATGTGGTGGCAGCAGCTATCTCACGACAATGCACAGAAATGCTCGTATCCTTCACAAACACCTGGGAGGACAACGTACACCAGGAATGAAAAGTTTCGCATTTTCTGCCTGCCATAGTTTACTGAACCACCTTGCTTTGAGAAAATTTTGACTGCATAATCATTGCACATCAACAAGCAACAGTCACCAACAGTGCCCCAGCATGCTCATTCAGCAACAAGTGTCTCCACAGCTCAGCTTTTTGTGCACATCATCACCCAGTTTGTTTGTTGTCATTTGATTGAACACTGTCATCTCTGGGGTCAGCTTCACACCTTGTTCACAGCATCCAGACATGCCCCATGCTGCAGCAACAGCTGCACAACTGCTGGCGAACCCCCTTGTGCAGCGTGGTGAAGAGCTGTGTTACCATCCTGCAACAGTTCGTTACTCCAGTTATGATATAGGGAGCAGCAACTCCATTCATCGCGCAAGAGCTTGACAGGCTCAACATTTGCATTTGTCCTTGCAAACACTAACAACAGACCATCAGTGTATACACAGGACCTGCAATCCACACGTTCTTCCTCAGCTCATCTGATCAACGGCACAGCTGATACAGAACAAGTTAGATGGAGATGGCCCACACAGACTGTCCCACACTGCCATTCACAATGGAAGTTGCTCCATAGACCATGGTTTGGCACAATTACCAGCATCAAACCGCTGCCATAACAACCTTTCTACAAGGTTTCTACTTGGGCTTACATGGTCTTGAAGCTCCAAGTCGCATCCTGATTGTACAATCTTTGTGGCAGCCACATCATCGCCATTCAGAGATGCATGGTGGAGGGGAGTGCAACCACACTGCACAACACAATGTGAGTTTTTGGATTCCAAAAAGGCCATCAAACAACGTTACACACAATGACGACAAACACAATATCAGTGCTGTCTATTCAATCTGTGATCACTTCAAATCACACTGCCAATGCACACATGAACCAAAAAGCATCCTTGTGTAAAAAACGCCCATGACGCAACTTTCCAATTTGCCCAATCAGTCACCTCATCTGAATTAGTAGCTTCTCGGTATTCGCTGCCAATCAGCTTTCCTCCCAGCTTGGCCTTCAACTGCACCAGGCTGAACTTCTTTGCCTGTATGTGGAAATTGATATGTTGTGTTAGCAGCGGAAGACTAAACTGATAATCTTAATCAGAATGAAATGAACTTGTCCATTGATCCCAGCACTGAGAACACTGTCCCCCTATGCCACGCAAATATTCTGACACTATAACCCAGCCGATGCATGCCAGAACAGCTACACAGCCAGCCAGCCAACCAGCCACTTTTCACCTGAAGCCCTAAGTGGCTCATTGCTGTGCTCTTGCCACATATACAATTCCAGTCCATGCCTTTGGTTCAGAGTAGTTGCTTGAGCACCCAATGGAAACAACAAAATCTGGGCATATGTGCAGATGTGAATCTTAGTCCTATCTCCACAGCACTGATAACAGAACCATCACCCAAAAGATGCAAGTGTTGAACAGGACAGTGTGCCCTTGTGAATGGAAAGTGAACAAATGCCATAGGTTTTGCCACAGCCATGCTTCCAGAAAGCTCCGATCATTCCACCCTGTACTTGCCTGGCCTGTCGCCACTTTTGCCAGCATCTACAGTACTCACCCGCATAAGGAAGTACCGGTATTGTCGTCCATGGGGAAGCTTCTTCACAGCCACTTCTGCTTCTTGAAGCCAAGCTCCAAAGTGTTGGCTGATGTCACCGTGCTCCAGGAACCACGTCTTGCCCTTCAATATGACAGAGCGGCCAGTTCTGGCCAGCTTGCTGTATTGGAAAGACTTCATCTCCCCACTGTCAAATACTTTGCACAGCTCGCGGCCATCCAGAAGAGGCAGTCCCAAGATGCGCAGGCTGGGCAGCTTTGCGTCTGGAAATGTTCGCAGCCTCCTGCACCCCTGGAGGTGCAGAGTCTTCAACCGAGACAGCCCATCGACAGACGGCATCTCCTCAACACACTCGCACCCCTGCAGACCCAGATAAGTTGGTACTGACTACCCAGTGTTAAACTGTGACAACTTTCTGTGGCCTTCAAAATGATGTTGGGCACAATATGCTTGATTCCATTGCTCACCTGCAAGTCCAAAATCTCCAGGTTCTTTGGCCACGATGTAGGCAGGTTCTTCATAATGGTGCAGCCAGAGGCCAACATGACCTTCAGATTCCCAAAATATTCCCGTTCACAAGGGAGAGAAGTCAGCTTTGTGCAGCCAGATACACTCAAATATTCCAGCTTACTAATGGACCCAAACCTTTCAGGGAAGCCTTCCAAATTATCGCAGAAGCCCAAGTCAAGCCGCATCAACCCCAACAGGTCTCCCAGAGTTTCAGGGAGCTTTTTGAGAGCAGACCCTGAAACGTACAAACTGTTCAACTCTTGCAATTCTCCAATGGATTCTGGTAGACTCTGCAATGATTGACACATCCGCACCGACAGCAGCACAAGGCACTGAAGCCGCGCAATGGATGCTGGAAGTTCTTCAATATCACAACCGTCCAGCCTCAGCAGTTGCAGTGACTTAAGCTGTGATATCTCCCAGGGCAATGCTCGCAACTGCGAAAAAGAAACATCGAGCACCCGCATCGATGGCATGCTCAGCATGCTGCTGGGAAGGTCAGGCTGTCTCCATCTTATCAGGAGACAGGATCGGAGAGTGACAAAACGAGTCCCATCAGGCCACATACAATCATCTGGCTGCATCTGATTTTGGCTGATCGACAACTGTTCTGCCTCAGCAGCTGTGTCTTGCAAGATGCTCAAGCAGGGGACAAACAGCCTCTGCCGTTTTGTGATGTCCCCCTTGCCTGCAATCTTCAATGCCAAGTCGCGTATCAGATCGTGCAGGGAGCAAGACAATGCTGCAGCTTCACACTCATGGAATCCCATCACTGATGCCAGCACGTCACTCTCTGACCTCTGGAAGCCAACTATGCCTGAACGGTCGACTTCTATGAGGGACCGATCCATGAGCTGCCCAAAGATGGCATACCCCTCCTTCACCTCCTTGATCAAGTTTTCCCTCGTCTGGATGAGATCATACTTCCGTGCAACCCAACTTTCCACCAGATCAGAGACCTTCACATGAAAATCCTCAGGGTACCCGGCTAACATGAGGAAAAAGTCCAGCTCCTCTGCATCGAGGTCATCAATGCTCAGCTGCAAGACAGCCAGGACCTTTTCGGCAGACCTGCCGAACTGCCTAAGTTTTGCCAGACCTATCTCCCATTGCTCAATGAGTGAATAGCCAGCGGCCAGTGCAGCAGCGACACTGAGAGCCAAAGGCAGCCCATCGCACACAGCGACCATCCCCTCTGCACACTCCTGGTACTCCCTCCTGTCCTCTGGAATGGATGAAGACCTGAAAGCTCGCATGCAGAAAAGCTCCATGGCCTGGTCGGGATCCAACAAATTCACACTGTACACCTGCGCATGACATGCTTGTGCTATGTCAGATTTTCTGGTTGTCAGAATGACCTTGTTGCTGCCCTCAGCCATTGCCAGTGCCTCCAGATGCTCATAATCCCACACATCATCCAGCACAACCAAAGTGTTTCTTGATGCAGCTGCTTTCTGCAGCATTTGACGACCTTGTCGCATGTTTAGAAATGGTGGTTCCGTTTTCTTCAACTGCCTCCACAGCTGGTGTTGGCAGCTCTGGATGTCTGGCTCCCGGCCGATGGTGATCCACGTCACCAAATCAAAGTTGCTTTGCACCTTGTTCAGCACCGCAGCAGCAAGAATCGTCTTTCCTGAAGCAATGCCAAATGCAAGGCAACCTTTAGGGACAAAAACTAGCATTTTTGTGTACACATCTGTATTGCCAATGCTTCAACTAAGCTGGATTTGCCTACCATCAATACAAACTGCTGTCCAGGTGCCAAGAAGACCTGGAGCCACTGCCAAGAAGGCTTGCGCATCTTGCTTGTCCACGTATGGAACCCTCCAAAACATGCACTGCCAGCAACCTGAGCACTGAATACAATGTTTTCTTGCAAGCAACAAGACTTGTCTCATCTTCGAACATACTTTGAAGGCAATATTGACTCATTTTTCCTGCCTTCTGGTTTGTGAAGTCACTGAACGCATCTTCAGCCAAGCTGCAGTGCCCTTGACAAGAATATTGCATGAAACCCCAAGCAACTACTGTATGTAACACCAGCAACTTGCCCAGGTGCCCAATTTCAACAGTTTCATCAACGTGGGGGGCAATTTTGAAGACCGTGGAAAGTTGCAGTGAAATTGAACAAGCAAGATCGACATTCATGTTTCCCACATTGTTAGGTTTGCTTTGATGTTCACCAACAATTGCTTCCACTGGAGCTACTTGCATTCAGTGTGGCATGTACAGCTGTCACCTGTTTGCAGGGACCATGCCAACAAAGAATGGAACTGCAATTTTCGATTTTGCATCAGTGCTGCTGATCCAATCATGCTTCGAACAAATATGACAACAACTCACTTTGAAGAAAGCTTCTGATACAACGACTTCCACAGCAATCCGAAGGCGGGTGCCTGCATTCTACATGGGCATATGAGTGTGACGCTCCTGGCTGGAGAGCTCAAGGGCTGTCTGAAATGGATTTGCAGTATTCTTCCACACAACTCACCGATTCCTCCCATTCCAGTTAGTGCCACTATCTTGGTGTCTGTGTGCATCAACATGTCTTCCACCATGCACACTTTGCGTTCTAGTCCAACAGCATGTTGAGGTACGTCGGGCAGCTCTATTCCTTGCTCCACCGTTTGCAACTCAGCGGTCCCCAGCCTCTTCAAAACAGCATCGAGTCTGTCATAAATGTCTTGGTTGTTGCAGTGCGGCACATCTTGGGAAGTGTAGCATGTTCCTTGGCCCCTCATCAGCGCTGAGTTGGCAGCCAGGTTGAAATCTGACAGAACAGCACATGGACTCACTAAACCCGTTCCCCGAAACCTACAACTGACATGATTCGCACATTGATGTTCCAAATCCATCTGAGGTATAACACCAACAGAATGCTGAGGCTGACCTTGCAGTGATGGTGAGGATATTGGATGAATATGATCAGATCCTTTCAGTGCCTTTGACCTCCAACACAGCAAAGTGCTCACCTGCCAGCGTGTGACTCAGTGCAGCGCCCACTTCTGCAAATCCTTTCCTGTACTTTTGAGAAAACATGTACCGTGTAAACCTCCGTTTCGACTGGTAGCTTTTCAGAAATTTGCATGCCTTCTCAAGAACAGCTTGCACGCGTAGCAAGGCCTCCGACACGTAGGGATCATCAACAACCTTTAGACTCCTCACAGTGGTTTTCAGCCCATCCATACGTTCCAGCAAAGCCCTGCATGCGCCCTTGTTGTGTTTTGCAGCTTCAACAACTTCTCTTATGTGGCTCACCCAGCCGACAGTCACATCAATGAGACCAATCGCATCAGCTGCCATGGCCATGATGACGGGCTATCCTGAATTGCAACACTGTCAGCATCGACTGAGCAAAAGGTCTATCAGCCGAAAGGCAGTCCCTGTCAAGACGAGCATTGACCACAATAGAAAAGGGCCATTCCCCACCTCACAGTCCCAATGGTGAAATACTCCCAGGGAAGAATGCAAAGAAGTCCACTGCTAGCAGACATTATCTCTATCAGCAAGGAGCGAAAATATGTTGCTCACAGACATGCCAGGAAGTGGTTTCCGTTTCATTCCCACAGAATGCATTTATTGCACTGTTGACCAATAAAATATGTCGTTTTTTTGTCGGTTTCCTAGTTTCGTAATGGAAAAGTTTGACAGCTTAATGCATGCACAACTCAATATTGGTAATGTCATTGCAGCAACACCAGTGCCATGTGCGACTGTTCAGCGAGGACGTCTGCACATCGTAGCTGCCCAGTTTCCCACTTCGTAGGCGGCCACTGTTGCAACAAAGTGGCAGCAGCAGCAATTGCACTGATGGCACTGTCCCAAAAGGAATTTCAGGCTCTTCCTCACCCAGACTGATATCCAAATGGCCACTTGTGATGAAAGCAAGCCTTGACTGGCTATCATCGTTGCAGCCCTCAGCGCTGCACGGTTGTCTTTCCGTTCGGAAAGCAGGCATAGGCATTGACATTGCCTGCTACTTGTACCCGCCCTTTGAGCAAATTCAATGCAGTGTTCGGCTCCTATGCACGAGTCGGAAGGAGCTGTGCCACGCTCACGGTGCACAAACAAGGACGTTGTTCTCTGGCATGGCTTTGCCAGTCAATCCGAGACATCACTGCGAGGTGGCCTGCGCATCAGAGGCCATGAGCCCCACGAAAGCCGTTGCAAAGGTCTTCATTGCTTGCGATACGTGACGCAGACGCGTCCGGCCTCCGACGTAGCGAACTCGGATTCAAGAATCCACAACACAAATGATACTTTAGTTTCCCTTCCTTCTTTGGATTTCTCTGCGGCACACGTCGTGGTACCGCCCGCGCCGCTCTCCACCTCGCGTCTTGCCGCCAATTCACGACGCGTTCACACAGCCTCGCGAACGCGAGGCTCATTCACCGCATCAACGCAACTCGAATGTTTTACGACTCCTCCCGCCGCTTGCTGCTGGTGGTCTGCACACGCAGTCAAGCTGGCGGGTGCGATTGCATACAAAGTGCGCAGGGATGGCAGCAACGCGATCCCCGCCGCTGAAAGCAGTCCAGCAGCCTCCAGGCCATCGCCAGGCGTTTCTACCATGTCCCAGATCCGCCGCCTCAGGCGCCCGCGCCGTCAGACGCAAAAGCCACGGCTGGGTGTGAGTCTCACTTTGCCTCGACAACGCGACAGGAGGGCAGGATACACACAAAGCTCCGCGCACCACGCACGCCAATTCGACAGTAAACCTCGGCGCCGCCAGGGTGGATTGGATCTCTTCATTAGTCATCCGCAGTGTCCCCCCACCCTTGGAGTTGCCGGCCCCGGCGTTGGGGAGGGGTTGGCCCCTGGGGGGCGCCCGCGCCGCACAAAGCGCGCCGCTGGCAGTGCAACGCCCGCCGAACGCTCGCCGTTGGCACAGACGCTCGCGAGACGGCCGCCCCGAAGCAGACGGAAGCAGTGACCAAAGGAAACAAGCGATTCCCCCAACGGCGGGGCAGGGAGGGAAAAAGCTGCGCACGATCGGCGTGCGACGCCAGGCATCTCCGGCAGGCCCTCAGCCGTCCGAGCCCGTGTGATCGCGTTCCCAAATTTTCTGCATCTGCCGCAGGGTCCGCGAGCGGACGTCAGGCGGCGTGGCGCTCCACGAAACCTACGACCGCCATGAGCTTAACCTGACGGCCGTGGCCGTGCCGCTGATCACACATGCGGCGGCATGCGCCGCGCGAGGCGAGCCCAAGAGTCTTACGTCAGCCAACCGGCTCACCTGCCGCCGCCCCTCCTCTGCTCAGATCAGATTTTGACCGGCGGACGGCTCCCTCGCGAAACTAACCTCCTGACTCAGGAGTCCCGTGTCGCCGTTGGCTGGGCGGGTGCCACCGCCACAGCGCCCTCCGCCCTGCACCCCTCCCCTCCTGTCCCCTCCGCCAAGCTCCGGCGTCCGGCCGGAGGCCCTGCCCTCCAATGCCCCCGTCGGCCGCCCACAGATGCCCCTCTCACTGCGCGGCCCCCACCAGAAAGAAAACAATCGCCGGGATCGCCAATCCGGCGGTCACGTCGGGCACACCGACGGGCCGTGGGTCCAAATCGCCTTCTTGGTCCGAGGCCACTCCGGCAAAGCCCTCGCCAGGCACTGGGAGGTCCTGGATGGCCAGACGGTCGAACAGCACGTCAGTGGGTCGCTGACGACAGTCGCGTGGGGGTGGGCGGATATTGTCGCCCCGCGTGGGAAGTTCAGGGGGTGACCTTTTATGGGATGGACCCCAAGAAGGTCTGGGGAAGGCGAAGGGGCGCAGGACGTCAGGGCCGTATGGGGCTGAGGCGAGGGAATTTGCGGGGGTGCTCGATTGGGCCGAGACAAGAGAAGGCTGGATGTTCGCCAGCAGTGGGAGAAGTTGGGAAGGAGCCGAAATGTGGCCACAGGCCAGGGCCGGGGCGCGTCAGACTCCCGGGGCGGACGTTCAGCCGCTCGGCAGGCGGCGGGGGAATGTGGGCCAGGAGAGGAGGCGGGGGAATGGCGTGGTGGGGAGGGGTATGGTGGTGTGGTGACGGGGACGGGTGGCGTGGTGCAGGGGATTGGTGGGGAGATGCGTGGCGTGGTGCTTTGGATGTGCGCTCGTGGGTGCGACCGGACCAATCTTCCAATGGGTGTGCAGCGTGCATGCCCTCCGCCATAAGGGGTAGTCAGTGGAGCGCTTCCGCGCTGGCCTGCCGGAGAGATGTGGACACGCTCGCGACCGCCGAGAGGTCAGCGGCATTTCGTTTTCAGCATATAATCTTCAACGGCTGTAACAAAGCCAAAGGGCATGAGGCAAAATTTATGCAGTTCTGTCAAAAGCGCAGGAGCTGCCACCCCACGGCCATTTGCAGCTGTTGACGGAGCTGACCGAAGCGACGCCATGCTTAAGTGCTGTTGAACGTCGGCCACCTCAAACCCCAGTCTAGGGTTATGGGGCGGCGCATGGGGCACGAGACAGTTCTACCTCCCATGGAGACGAAGAACACATTAATTGCTCGTCTATCACAGGTTCGGTTTCAGGATGGCCATCCGGAGTGCCTGAGTGGGGTGAGGGGGTGGAGGAGTTAGGGGGTGGGGTGGGGGTGGGGGGAGGGGCGCGCTCAATCAGTAAAACCTGGTGGTCACAGGCGACCTGTTTAGCTCGTTCAGAGACAGATGCCTGGGACCAGTTCACATTGGGACAGACCTCACAACAGCTTTGGGCATTTTCGCGGGTGGCTTAACACTCGAATGTGATTGGAATGTGCTCTCAGTCTGAATGTTGACACACTAGGAAAACAGGCCAGATGACACAGTCCTGACACGGTCTGCTCAAAATCCAATTGTTTAGACTACACATTTTCCCAGGTTGAAACGGTTGAAACTGTGTCAATGTGTGTATTACTGTGTGGTTTTGGGACCACATTTGGACAAAGTACACAATTGGATTTTGAGTAGACCGTGTCAGGACTCTGTCATCTGGCCTATTTTTTACTAGTAACAAGGGGCACGATCGCGACGACACACAATTGAGGTGGTGTCCATGACGTTCGTCAGTGGTAGTGTCTTGAAGTGCGTGCACATAGGCTGGCAAAGTTCATGTCAGAAATCAGAAGAACGCACACAATTTGATTGCAATTTTGCCAGGTGCACCCATCTACCCGGAATAAGTTCATACAGGTTTGCCTGTGGTGTGTTGTGGATGCGCGCGGATCACACACCCTTGACACAGCTATGGCAGTTTCATCCATAATTGCCACAGGCCTACAGTGTCACTGACCCCGTGATGGCTACCTGTTTGTTAGGTGTTTGGATTCTGTGAGAGTTGCGCGCTTCTCGCACATGCATGAGTACACGTGCCACAGTGCCTGGAATGGGACGGAATTTCCAATTTCGTGAGGCGAAACGAGCCTCAAATTGATGCCCATTGGAAGAACGCCATGTTGAGTGGGAGGTTGCTGGAGATGCCTGTTGCTGTCCCCTGTGCGATTTCTGTCTTGACAATTCGGAGCTAAGTGAATTTGCAAATACCATTGTCTCGAGTAGTCGACCAAGGTGTCAGCCAATCGCTGACACCTGGCACCGCTGCTAAAAGTCATGGAATGGCACAGTCAGCCGCTGTTCGCAGCATGCTGTGGAAGGGCAGTCAGGGCCGCGTCTCAATGATAAGTCGCTGTAGAAATTGGCCGACAATTGGGGCGGTCTTTTGGCTGGTCCTGGGGCTGTTGCCGGCGAACGAACCGAGCGGAAATATCTGGATCTGCCCACACAGATTCTGAATCCGTCATGGGGCGCACTGGTTGCGGATAAGAATCAAACGAGGACGGTGTTGGACACTGACGGCGACTCGATCGGCTGGGGAACGCGCATCGGGGCGGGGCCACGCTCAACGTCAACTCCCCTCCCCCCGGCCAGTATTTCTTCCCCTTCTATTTTTCTATGCTGTGCTTTTGGCTTGCGTCTATGGTTCTATGTTCTTATTGTTGCCTGGGTTGCTGGTGTGGGCACCGCTCTTTGACAATGGACATGCCACGTTGACACTTGCTGTTCTCTCCCTTGTAGCCAACCTTGATAATTTCAACCCACAAACTTTCGCACAGTCGGAAGTCATTTTGATTGGCATAAATGCTGTGTTACAAAACGTCTTTGCATATATCGGGCTGAACAACCGCGGTGCCAAATGCACTGGCTGCAGAATGCCCTGCGACAATGCGCTCAAACGGGACGGGAACATGTAAACCTATTTTCCTATCACGAATGACTTCCCTTTTCCATCTCTTATCAATCCCCAACTTTCACGCTCTGCAGAAATTCATGAAAGGAAGCCAGCACACTCAAAGCAGGAGGATATTCCAGGTCCAAATCCATATGAATGTCACTATCAATGGGCCAAAAAAAAGCCTCCATGCTGCAGAAGAATAAAGCAAAAATGTAAATATACAAAACAGCAAAGAAATGCGCATTTCATTTTACGATCAATCGTGGCACCGACTAGGGCGGGCTGAAGACTTCAATCCTATAATTGCTATACTGAGACACCCGTGTTGCCACCCCCCACCCAGAGATATCAGGCGCGGGCCACATTGCGAGAGCACGCTCTGCCGTACAACTATGCAAAACCATCGTTTTTCTACTCCACCAATGATGATGAATGCCCCAGCAATCGCTGCTGTATTAGGCAGGGAACCAGGTATTTCAAAGCAAGCCCACACCGACACCAAAAAATATCGTACGACTGCAGCACAATCACTGGCGTTGCTGAAAAATTTCGCCAACAAGGAAACGGCGTTCAGGCATCAGATCCATGGCGTTCAGGTCAAGGCCAACATAACAGCCCTTCCTGTTGCATATGTGCAATGCCATCAAATAGCCCATGTGACTTCACTGGGTTCTAATTCAGCTAAATCTCTCGGCCCACCTCGCAAAAGACCCTCCTCTAGTCCAAGATCGTCAACGTTCGGGTGAGGTCAAGTCGTCAGTCTTCGGTTCACTCAGCCCCCTCGGGGGCTCAGCATCCGACGCATCTCACCAATGAGAGCATTGGAGGTGTCTTCCAACCGTTCCTCCACAGCCTCCTTGAGGCCAACGAAACTGGACTTTTGCCTGGCAGCAAGCATGCCCAGCTCGCCCATCAGCTCGTTCCTCAACGTGCTTCCGTACTCACGGACAGCTTGCCTGGCAGACAACAAAACGTGGTTTAAAAGCCAACATGCAGGATCATCAAAATGCCTCGTTCGACACAGCACAGAACAATAGTGACGCATGATGGGTGGACACAGTCAGCTCAAGAGTTAAGCTGTGTCCAAAACTCCCCTGAAAGTAAGTGCATGACAGCATAAGAATACCAGTAATATGTGAGTCTCATCGTCATATGCACCATGGCATCTATACAATCTCGTTGTAGCGACTCGGCAGCACCAATTCCCAAAACAAACTGCGTGATTTGCTCCTTCCCAACACACTGCAAAATATCCATGCAACTTGGGGTTCCTACTCAAGTTGCTTCTCCAGCTTCTCTTGAAGCTCCTGCTGCTCCTGCTGCTCTTGTTTCGCGGTGTGTGAGGAATGTCGTGGAACGATGATGTGGAGAAACTCAGAGATTTTTGATCTGAAGCACAGATAAGATGCTCAACATGCGTCGCAACTCGGCAGCGATCCCACCACCACTACCACTCGCACCAGAGTGGCACCACAGGACAAAACCCTGGCATGAAGAGCGCATGCTAAAGTAATTTCCGCAGTACGAACAGCCGTTGCTGCGAATTTTGCAAGGTGCATCCGGGTGTGCCCCAGATACTGTTGGACAGCAGGTACTCACTCAATCAGTCTCTTGGTGTCGCTGTTTGCCATGCTCTCCATGTCGTCAATGACCAGCGCCCTGGCTTTCAAAAACGTGGTTTCTTCACTCTGCTTCACTCTGCACAACAAGTGCAAATGCAAACCTATGCTTCACCAAAAGAGCAGCATGGCACAAGCGTGCGTGGCACAAAGCTGCGTGGTACGTAGCAAGCATCGCTCAACAGGCTGCACAAAAGACATTCCAGTTACCTTCAGATCAGGGAGCGGGCACGCACCTGTCGAAAGAGAACCCCATCAGCGAGATGAGAAGGTTGAGCATCATAATCATCATTATTGCCATGTACAGCACAAACAGCAGCCTTGGGAAAATGCGGAGTGCTTTCCCATAAAACAAGCCCAGCTCAAAGTCCCCAAGCATCATTCCAAAGGTTGTAAACAAAGCGTTCTGATAGTGCCCAAAGGCATCGCTCACTTCTTGAAGCTCTTTTAGGGTTTCTGCATCAAGTTCCTCTGCAGCCATTTCGACATCACCCACATCGTGTCGAAAGGCCAAGAAAAATGCCACAGAGAAACCAAACATGATGGCGACCAGCAAGAATACAAAGAAGAAAATGTCCTTGATGACTTCAAATATCACGATGACCAGAGGTCCCGTGGCTTTGAAGGGGGTGGCGAAGTAGAGAAGTTTCCACCACACAGTGATCGCTGTCATTGCTACCAGCACGGACTGCCACTGCTGCCTTTCTTCGGTGTTTGCTGTAAGTTGCATAGCTGGAAGGACGAAGGCAACCATGATAGATGAACCAATCTCTAGGGCATTCCACTTCGACAAAGCCCAGCAACCCAAGCCATTGAAGCCATGCTCTCGTCCTTCCCTCACATAGGTCCTCAGCTGGTGGAACTCCTCCTTCAGATTGAAAAGTGCACAAAGGGCACAGATTGCCAACAGGATCAGTTCTGTGACATCATCGTTGTCTTCATCACTGTTGTCGCTTCCACCGAACAAGGAACTGCCATCGTGGTCCTTGCCCAGCACAATCGCATATGCTGTGAAGAGGATGACAAAGATGCAGTAGGTGATCGCCTCCTTGACCACCATCTTGTGTGCATATGCCTGCCACTTGAATGTGATGATGCTCTGCACAAGGGATGTCGAGAAAGCCTGGTCAGGAATGCCTTTTGACACAAGCAGGTGCCTCAGCAGGCCATTCATTCCCACCTTGCAGCAGCCAGGGTATGGGTAGGCTTGGGCCAGCGCTGGCACCATGACTTCATCCGAGCGCCTTCGGCTCACTGGCAGTGTCCGGCTCCACAACTTCTGCACATCAAGGTCAAGGAACTTCGGGAATGTTTCAGCAACAAAGCCATGGTCCCCCAGAAGCCTCTCAGGGACATTTATCTTTCCGATGGTAACAGGCATCCCATGGCCTCCATGCCCCCCTGAGATGGCCTCCAGGAACAGAGATGGGTAGCGGCGTCCCAGAGGTACTAGTGTCTCCTTGAAAATGCTGGCCATCACATTGCGGGACACCACACCGTCATACATCGCTCGAATCAGCCGAACCACTGTGTCAGGCAACCGCCGTTCTATGGCTAACCCCACTGCATTCTTGCACCTTCCTTGGCGCGGATTCATCATCGGATTCTGGCTGTGTGTGAAAAACAGCAGGCGAGTCCTTGTGCTCTGGCAATACTTCAGCACAACTTTGAGAGCAGTGGCTTTCTCATGGTCAATCGCACTCATGATGAATGGAACCCCCTGCGCATCTGCCCTGTTCATCACAGCTGGTCCATGCTCCATCACGATAGCCTCAAACGCCCTCTTGTTGTTCAAGATGCCGCTGGCATCTAGTGTGCAGTAGTCTGGGACACACCCCTTTGTCGCATATGGTGTCCACACCACAACCTGATCGGACCCTGCACAGGCGATGCGACGGCCATTGTGAGATATTGCCAGCACTTCAGGGGTTGGAATACGGTCTGTCCGAAGCTCCTTTGTGTGCGCCCCAGCTATGATAGGCATCACCAGCACTCTTCCATTGGACCTTGACACAATGTGCATACAAAGTGCTCCCTTGTCCTTTGCAGTGCTGGGTGCATTGCTGATGTCATCTTTCACAAGCCATGCACCATCCTCTGAAATGGCCACATTCATATATACACTGTCTGACATTGACAGATCAAGATGCTCTCCAGGCCGGCACACGATGGGCTTGTTTGTGATGTCATCCCAGCCGGCCACCGCCAGGCTCGAATCGCCTGCAATGTTGTCAGGAAAACTGCGTGCTTCTTGAACATGGTGTGTAAACTCACTGCGTCCAATCATCTTGCGCTTGACAATGTCGATGACAATAGCAGCATCCCTGTCTGTATGCAGTGCGACGCTTGAACCATCTGCCTTGAACAGGCAAGCAGCAAGCAAATCCCCCTCTGCGCTGTTCAATGCTTTCAATCTGTGCACTTCCACGCAGAGTTCTGTGTCCAGCCACACAAGGGTGCCACCATCATCGCACACCACTACCATTTCCTTGCCTGTTTCATCACTGGAGAACACTACTCCGCTGGCACCGTGAAAATAGCCATCCAGCCGTCCTAGTTGAGCCACAGGATACTGAAAGTGCAGACCCTCTTCTGGAGAAACCCCCAGTACAGCAGCAGTATTCCACAAATGCACACTTCCATCACCCAACACACCCACCAGCCTGCTGCCATCGCGTGAGAAGGTGAAAGCCTGGAAGTTGGAGGAGTTTTTCTTGTCTTCCTTGAGATGGAGCAAGACTTGCGTCTCGAAGTCTTGCACATGCAAGACTGAAGAGGCCCTCCGGAATATCCCAAGTTTGTTTCCTAGGAAGGAAAACTTCAAATCAACGATTGGATGATTGTCCCCACCTCCACGCCTGTCTTTTCCGCTCAGCGTTTTGACCAGTGACCCATCATGTGCTTCCATCGGTAGTGTGTAGTGACACATCTGTCTTCCAGTTCCTCTGTCTGCACCACTGAGAGCCCCAGTGTCCCACAGGAGGAAGTTGACCTTTGCAATCATCGCCATTCTGCATCCATGGCCTCCAAAGCTGAGATTGTAGTTCTTGATCAAGTCGCCATCAGGAAGAGATATATTGAGCAACCTCACACCCTCCACTGCATTCCAGATAAAGCCCTTGTTCTCCTTCTCCACATACAAGCCGAGCCAGCACTGGTCCGGCGACACAGCTACGCTCTCAGTCTCATTTCCTGTGATGAAGTCTCTGGCCCAGTCATCCAGCCTTTCAGAACGCTCAATGCCAGTCGTCAGTGTAAGATGAAGGGTTTTCTTCTCGACTTTCCAGATTTGCATTCGGATATCCATTTCCACGGCACAGGTCGCCAGCCTGTGTTCGCCCTTGGGTGCCCACACAAATCTGGCCCATAGAACGTCTGACAAACTCTCAAACACTGCTTCATCAGCAATGAATCTTGGGCTGAGCTCTGGATGACCATGGAAATTTTCTCTGAGGCCTTCACTGCTTGAGGTCTCTTCCCTTTTCTTGACCGGCACATCCTCCTTGATCATTTCCTCATATGTCAGGGCACTGGGAGTGAGGTAGATGCCTCGCGCTCCAAACGCATCGCCTGAACCCACACTCATCGCTCTGTTCCTCAATCCGACAATGTCCCACACAAAACATGCACCACTTGCCTTTTCCGATTTGTGGCCTGTTCCTCTGATGAATGGATCCCATGTCACCACCAGGTTGCCGTCCTTGGACCAGCTTCCAAGGCTTCCAGACAGGGAAAGGCTCACATCTGGGGAATGCCAATCTGGCCACACCACCACATACCCTGGCATCAACTCGTCTGAGGAATACATCCCAACCAGCAGGCCGTTCCCATTGTCCGCAAATTGCACACCATTCAGAGAGTATGGGGTTTCAGGTCTCCAGGCAACGGTGAGCCTTGCCTCCCTTTTTGGAGTACCTCCATCTGTGTTGCCATCTAACCTGTAGAGGTCAAGGAAAGCAGCACGAAGGCCTTTGTCCCCTTGCGTCATAGTTTTCCGTGATTTCCTGGACACGTCTTTTTTTGACTTGTCCAGCTTGGCTGCCTTCCGAAGGATGCAGAAATCCACAGGTGTATTCAAAGTCAGCGCCAGCAAGGAGCCATCGTGGCTGAAGGCAATTTCACAACGTTCTGGATCAAGTGCTTCCATTTTCACGCCCCTTGCTATCTCTGCAACTGTTGTCGTCCCGGTGATCAGATTCCAAGTCACAAGACTGCAAGATTGGTCAAGCGAAGCCACACTGTTTTTGGACATCCCAATGAAGTGGCAGGCCAGAATCTGTGGCAAACATTGTGCCAGTTAGCAGTATGCCCGAAAAAAAGCGAAAGGAAATGCAAATACGACCAAATGACAGCACTTCAATAGCCTTTTGCTGTGTCGTTTCACAGTCGTTCTCAACAGAGCCAACTTCAAGACTGACTGGTGTCACAAACAGGCTGAGCCGGCTGGCAGTCAAAATGCAGACAAACGCTTCCACCCAATTTCTTCATAAGGGACGGTACTGGCAAGCTTTGCCAACTGTTTTTAGATGCAATCCAGCCCACAGAATGGCAAGCAAAGAAGAAACGACAGTTCAGGAGAGCAGCAAATGTCCGCACTGTGGTCATGTGGGAGCTCGATTTCACCACCTCTGCAGTGAAAATCCAGCCGAATTGTGCCAGCTGCGTGTCCAACACTTGTAGAGAAAGAAGTTCCGTCAATTCAGGCACAAAATCCCTGTGCCTCAAAAGTCGCGGTGTACAGCAAGGCACCGCAAGCCAATTTCTCAGCTCGGCTCCAACCTGAAACTTGTGGACGCCGCTCAACGACGCGATGAGCTTGCCATGCTCAGCATCCCAGACACAGACATCCCCGCACTTGTGCCCTGTCAGCAGCCTTGTGCCGTCCATCGAGAACGACGAGTGCGTGATGTCAGACCTTGTGTCCCTTGGGGTCGACGATTCCCCATCATCCACAGGATGGCTACCAATGCTTCGAAGCCTAGCCACCCCCTTCGCGTGTGCAGCTGAGTCTTGGTCTTGATCCGAGCGGTCAGGTGGCTCCAGCGCGAACACGGGCACCCCGTTGATGACCCGGTAGTCGTCGAAGAAACTCAACGCGGTGTCGACGAAGTGGCGAACGCCTGAGCAGGAACGCAAGCGCAAGTGTCCTCAGACGCCCACAATTCATGTTGGCACAGCATTGATCTCCGTCAAGCCGTGCGGCACAAGCCCGAGGCTGGCCATCCAAAGCCCAGTTTGACACAGCAACATGCCGCCGGATCTCGTGTCGATCTGCATTCTGGGAATACGCCCATTGTTCACTGTTCGGCACAGTGTTAGTTCCGTAGAACACCCAGTTTGTTGCGGGCAGGGACAGAATACGATATTCACGAAGAGCAGCTTGTTCAGGGCGCTGGATGGAATTGGATTGTCAAGGAGGGCTGCACGTGGACACGGCCCACGTGTCGCGGTTGAAGGCGCAGCTCACTGACGAGCCAGCAGAAACAAACGAGCGGATGGACAGCAGGCAGGAGCATGGCTGCCGGCGGGGAGGCGTGCCACAATTCCCAGGCAGTCGCCGCCAATTGAGCGGCATGTCCTCGCGCCCTCAATTCCTCGTTCATGCGCATGTTAACTGATGCACCCAGGCTTTAGAAACGGGAGCGCATCGGAGAAAGCAGGTGGCGAGGCGTAAGGCGTTCAGGCGAAGGGGGCGGAGACTCTGGACGAGGGAACTCAAGACCCACTTCTTGACTCTGCACGTGTTCGACAAGGATCCTACGGATGGTGTGACGGCGCTTTACTAACCATGCCCCGAATCTGAAAATCGGGGTTCGGGATCTCATTGGCGGGTTTGCTGAGGGGTTCGCTTCGCGTGACGGAACCAGGGTGACGAGGCCGTTTCAACTGCGACATCCGTACATCGGTGCCAATGGCACACCTCTCCAATGTTCCCCAGCTGGGACCAGCAAGTGCATATTGTATAGATACCTGGAACACACCTAGCCACACGGGGGCGCTGACTGCTGTGGCACAATACTGTAAAATACTAAACATTTCGCATAGTAACGTAACGCTTGGCCTTTTCTGCGGAGAAAAATAACACAGATAGTAACTCAAATCTTGGCCTTTCTGTTCGGAGCAAAGTAAAAATATTAAAATAAGGCTCTGAAGACAAAACGCGGATCAAAAAGCGTAACGGTGAAATTTTCTGATGAGGAAAGGTTCAATATTTTACAGTATTCAAGCAAAGGCCGACCGCCCCCACACGTTGAAACCCAATGTGCACAGTTGATTCGGTCCCTGGCATAAGAATTACCCAGGGAGTTAGTTTATTAGCGAATGCTTCAACTGTTTCAACTTGTTGGACACCGACTCTTGTTGCTGTGTGTTATGGGCTAATCTTCGCCAACATGCACAACACACAGCCAGATCAACTTGTGGATCAACTGTGGCTTTACTGTCGCACGACTGTACATACACTTGATGGCTATTTGTTGGCCTTGTATACCGAGTTACCAGCTTTTCTGGCTCCGCAAAGCGGGCAAGCCGTTTGCAGATTCCGGTTCTACAACTCCTTGCATGCCGTCACACACCCTCCCACAGTACGATAAGACCAACATTGGTGTTTTCGCAAGCTCCCTTCACGCAAATGCATGTGGGTTGCCGGTACGTCGAAAAAGCGAATGAGGATAGCGCAACGTGCAATGGCAACAAGGTCCTTCGTCTGCCTGCAGCCTTTCGATCACAACGTACTCATGTCGTCGTCATTCGACATGGACCTCGGCGTTGAGACGCCAATGGTCATGTAGTCGTCCAGAGCCTCCCATGTGTTGCAGAGGGCCGAGCTCATCCACTCGATGACCCACTCCACGAAGGCGGACAGACTTCTGAACAAGCCCATGGCGCCGGAGTGATCCAACCAAGATCGGTTGGACCTGCACTAGACACAGACCAGGGCTCAGTACAAAGGTGGCAACAAAGGTGGCCATTGGGGCCAGACTTCCCCGCCAGCACACCAGCCAGGAAGCAACCTGCAAGCGCAAAGCGCCGTTTCCGTGCGAATGGGCGCTATTAGTGCGACGCCGACATGTTTGATCAGACTTCCTTGCTCATGAGCAATGCCGCTGGAGCATGGTGAACTTTTAAAGAATCGCAGTTGGCCAGTGTCTCCTTACCATAGCGTCGTGTGACCATTGCGGGCGCAAGGTACTTCGGCTCTACAGCAAAACTGCGCCCCGCCATAATACCTTGAACCAAGGCTACCGTCTATTGTCTTCTGTATTTTGCGGTGGAATCCCCGGCTTTGGCAGGACTGAGGTGGGCCGCCGGAGTTCGATTTTGCCCCGGGGATACCACAGGGTCAATGCCCGTGCGGCGCAAGACATCTCCAAAGCAGGCCGGGGGCCGCATGGCCGTTCCCTATGCCCAGAAAGCGGCCCCCGAATAGTCGCGCCGGAGGCAAAAAATTGCCGTGTTGCACGGCGCCGAGATAGTCGCCCCCCGTGTCAGAGATTCTCCACAGCCGGGCGTACGACGTTTTCTGTTGTACGGAGCAGCAGACTGCCGTGGGGCGCATGGCGGGCGGCCGGAGGCCTGCCCTACCCGGTTCGAGCGCGCCGCCTGCTCTCCAGTGCGCGACGACAAGTTTCATGTGGACTGCGACTCGACGTCCGGGGCCCCGACAGCAGCCGCCACCCTCCGCTGCCATGGGCGCATCCATGGACCCAAGGGCACCGGTATCCGATCAATCCAATCTGCCGCCAGCGCTGCAGCGAAAAGCCCAAGGCGGCCGGGGGGCAGCAGCGCCCAACAATAGCACCACGAAAAATTCCAACCCTCGCCATCCTCCGCCACCCAGGGCCGCGGGGTGCCGCGCGCCAGCCTGGAACTCCCCGAACGGCAGGTGGCCATACGACGCCGCCCCGGCCACGATTCTCCCCAAAGCAAGATCGCCAATCCCGCCCAAACCCCTCTACCAAGACCGTGGGCCATCGTACGGCCGCCGCAGTTCGATCCAGGGGGCGACCCCATTGCCGTACCTCGCGCCGCGGGGCGTGGCGGGCCCAAGGCGACCTTCCAGGCGTCAGCGCCTCAAACCGGCGCTGGTCGGTTCAGAGCCTCGGCGCGCCTTTGGCCCAACTTTGGCCAATGCGTCCCACGGGCAGTGAGGCCGTGTGACGGCCGCGGGGGACAAGTTTCACAACTTGAGATCCCAACCGTTTGCGGCGAGTGGGGGCATTATAAAGGAGGAGGTTGGGGCGCAGGTGGCCGCGGCTGGCCCGGGCAAGGGGCCCCGGGATCCGCGGCGCATCTTTTGGCCGCCTGACGCACGGGCGTCACTTCCGGGGGGTCCTTGACGTGCAGCGAAGACGCTCCAGGGCTCGGCGTGAGCACGCGGCGCGATGCGAATGTCAGCCACAGGAAGGGACCGTCCGACATGCGGTGTTGAAGCGGTGGCTCTGGCGGCGCGGGGGGGGAGGGCGCGCTGGCTGGTCGCGTGATTGTCACTGATCTGGTGGCTTGCCGCCGGGACATCCGGGGCAGCGCCGCTAAGAATCTCTCATCCTTTTCGGGCTGGGGAGAGCAGGATGGCCGAGCTGGAGTGGACGCGGAAGTATGGGGCCCCGGCGGGGCTCGCTGCGTGGCCAACAACTAGCGGCCACGGATCACGGGAGCACCCTGGGCCCCAATTCGCTGTACGACGTTAGCCGGGTGAACCAACCGGCAATAAGGGGTTCCCTTCGTTCCCTTCAAGGGAGCACAGAGCCGTCAACAGGCTCTGATCTCCGTTAACGCAAGTCGAGGATTACACCGTATGGCGTCGGCACGGTCTGCTGTCCAGGATTCGGCTCCTACAGTACGGTTGGGGCAGCATCGTACAGTTCAAGCTTGACGGGTGTGACCGAAGTGTGGCCGTTCGCAACCGACCGAGGAGTACCGCCCAATTCGACATTGGGGCCAAGAGTGCTGGCAACAGGCGATGTCGCCGATAACTCATGAGCACAGGAAGAACATGACACGGCAGATGCATGTTTTTGCAGCTTGCAGCAAGCGCTCTTGGCATGAGGAGGCGCCAATGGGTGCAGAATAGCACCGTCCACGCGGCTTCCAAACTGCTTGCAAACGTGTCAACACAAATTGCAGTCCAGCGCAAGGCCTCCAGCCATTGGCGCCGTTTCTGGTTGTGCTTGGGCACGTGCTCGTTGTACTTTAAAATTACCATTGACGTCTCGACCATGGGGTTGATCTCCCCAGTCCACCGAGTGGAATTTACTCCACTATGACCTCGCGTTTGTAAGCTGGATCCCAATTGGCCTTCGCAACGTGTCCAATTGCTGCGCCCATCAACTTCAGTGCGCTATAGGCTATCTCATATACCACACCAGATTTTCAATCACGAAAGCTCCAGTGAAACCAGCCCATTGGTCGCAGAACTGCTGCCAAATCTGAAATGGCACTACGGCATACGCAATGGCAACTTGACATGCAGTCCAGCAGATTTTGGCTTGTGCAGCTGCAATGAAGAATGGTTGCAATGTGCATGCGCAACAGAGGTGACTTGCTACCAGTAGCCACAAGTTTGTTGCTGCATGTCAGAATCCTCAGTCGCAAATGGCAGATAGTCGGTGCAGTTCGTGCTGCTTCGTCTCCCACTGGAAGCCCAAGGCCCAGTGAGATGCACACCACACGTGAGGCTGCCGTCAGTCTATCCAAGCCGCCACAGCTCGCAGGGACATGCCATGTGCGCCACCGCTGGCGATCCCAAGCCGTCTGATCGCCGGCGGTCCTAAAGTTCCAGATTCCAAAACTGAATTACCGAATTGGACGATTACAATTAATCACAGAATCGTTCTCCAAGTAAGCGCAGTTGCAGTGTCTTTACCCGCGCGAGACAATTGGAGAAGCTGTAGTGGCCTATGATGCACCAGAGCTGTGCGGCCCCGGCTCCATTATCATGGAGAAGGCACTGAAGCCTGGACATTTGCAGCCAGGCGCCAACACCCTACTGCAGCATTCTCTCCCATCTATAGTTCGTCGGAGCACCCTGCAGGGAATATTATAAAACCCAACCAAACGGGAGGGGGTGGGAGTGGAATGCGGGGAACAACAATTGGTACGCACACAGATCAGAGACGAGTCAAAAATATCCCGTAACAGCCACCATGCCACACGCTGCTACCCTGCCGCTCCAAAATGGCAAAACTGTGCCAGCCATACCTGCAGAATTATTGGCTACTGACACCACGCACATCACTGCCAACACCACTATCACACTTGCTACAGCCATTCTTGCTCTTGCTGAGACAAATCACAACATTGCTGTGCGTTTCCTGTTGGTACACTATCTTCAACAGATCGAACTCTCCAGCACTTGCTGCCCTTTTCCCCCACCGCCAAGTCTTTAAAGTCGTGTCAACGTCGCTCTCCATTTGATTCTCCGTTTGGATTCTCCATGTGGATTCTCCATTTTGCCCCAGTCTATTCTAGCACAATTATCTGCCTCTCATCGCCCGATTTATGTCCTCTCTCAACACAGCCGACGTGTCATCAAGGCGTTGCTGAAGGCGCGCTTCGACCTCGCCAAGCCTAGCCCTCAGGCCATTAATGCTGCTTCGCTGCGACATCAGCTCTTTCATGGTGTCAGCCATGAGCGACGCTCCGCATTCGCTGACGGCTTTCCTGGCAAGCGACACAGAATTTATGTCAGACCGAGCATCGACTGCAGTGGTGATTTTGTAGCAAATGGATCATCTGAAAGCGTTCTGGCAGTTCGCAGCAGTATCTCCACAGTCATGTGTGGGTTTGAGAAACCCGCCTCTTGCCAACACTAGGAAATTAAATTGCACCACTGTCATACCCCAGTCGACCCTCCAGCTGCTCCTCCTCCTCCTTTCGCTTCCCAACGTTCGGGCCATCTCGTGGAACAATGATGTGAAGGAAGGTGCTGATACGCTTCCTGTGCCACATGCTCACAGACCTCAGCAGAAGCAACACCCAGCAAAAGGTGCAATAGCGCTGCACCAGACGCAGCAAACTGATGTCAAAGGGGTGTATTATATTTCAGTGCACGGCAGCTGCCGGACTTCAGTAGCTGTGGCCACAGTCCTGATTGGAAATGATTACCTTGTGAGCACGGCAGTGGGGCATCATGGTATCAACACACCAAAAAAAAACGACGATTCTGCAACCACATTCTGCAAGAGACACTGAGACACTTACGCTAGGATCTTCTTTGTATGTGCAGATGCCATGCTCTCCACATCATCAATGGTTGCAGCCCGCGCCTTCAAAAAGGTGGTGTCCTCGCTCTCTTTGACCCTGCATAAGGCCGTGCACTATGTCACACCAATTCCGCTTCCCGATGTCCTGCGTCATTGGACAACACCAGCACACTGGGGCCACAGAGATTCTTACTGCAAATTTCGTCCGTGGACTATCACAGAGCCACACCAGCTGGATTTGTGTGGCCACGCACCTTGAGAACGAGAACCCCATCAGCCCGATAAGCAGGTTAAGCATGATAATCATCATGGCAGCCATGTAGGCCACAAACAGCACCCTTGGAAAGAATCTGTGGGTATCCGTGAAGAACAGCTCCAAGTCGAAGTCCCCCAGCATCATTCCGAATGTTGTGAACAGCGACCTTTGGTAGTCCCCAAATGCTCTGAACACATCATTGTCTTCACAGTTTTCCCGGTTCTCTCCACCGCACACAACTTTCAGCATCCTTGTGCACTCGTCGGTGACATTCTTGCCATCGCACACTTCGTTCATGAAGTCTTCATTGAGAGCCAGTTTGTCGTGCCGAAATGTCACAAAAAATGCCACAGAAAAGCCAAACATAATGGCCGCGAGCAGCACGACGAAAAATACGATGTCTTTCAAAACCTCAAATATCAATATCACGAGTGGGCCAGTTGCTCTGAAAGGGGTGGCAAAGTAGAGCAGCTTCCACCACAGCACAATGGCGGTGATCGCCACCATCACCGATTCCCTCTGATCCCTGCTCTCAGAAGTGGCTGAGAAATGAGTCGCTGGGATGACAAAAGCCGTCATTATGGAGGACAGCAGCTCCAGAAGATTCCATTTCGAAAAAGCCCAGTAAAAAACGCCATTGAAGTGGGCTCTTCGTCCATCCTTGAAGTCATTCACCACCTGGTTGACTTCAACCACAAAATTGAGGAAGCCCATAATGGCGCTTAAAATCAGCAGCACAGCTTGGGACTCATGCCATTCACCAATAAAGGGCCCCACTTTATCTTCGTCGAAGTTGACTTGGTTCTCGTCATCAGATCCCAATGCAGCTGCATATGCAGTAAACAGAGCAACGTAGGTGGCATAGATAGTCGCCTCCTTGATGACCATCTTGTGTGCATAAGCTTGCCACTTGAATTCGATGATGCTGTGCACAAGTGGTGTCGAGAAGGCTTCATCAGGGATGCCGTTTGAAACAAGCAGGGGCCTCAACAAGCCATCCATCCCAAGCCGACAGCAGTTTGGGAAAGGAAAGGCCTTGGCAAGGGCTGGCACCTCAATTTCTGTCATCCGCCTCCTGTTTCCAGGCTGTATCTTGCCCCACAACTGCTGCACATCGTGATCCAGAAACTTTGGAAATGTTTCCACCACAAAGCCACTTTTCTTGAGCACTCCCTCTGGTACAACAATCTCCCCAATCGTCACAGGCATTCCCTCCCCCTTTGGCCCTCCCTTGATGGCCTCAAGGAACAATGTGGGATACTGGCGCCCCAGCTGAACAAGAGACTCTCCAAAAATGTGTGCCATCATCGTGCGTGACAACGTGCCGTCGTACATTGCCTTGATCAAGATTCCTGCAATCTCTGGTGACCTGCCTTCAATAGCCAGCTCCAGCGCATTCTTGCTGTTCTCGCTGCCCTGTGTGCGGAAAAGCATCCGTGTCCTTGTCTCCTGGCTGTATTTCACTAAGGTCCGAACAAGATCGAGATTATCATCAACGACCGCATTAAGAAGGAGGGGAAATCCCCGGTCGTCTGTGTTGTTCATCAATGCTGCACCATGCTCTTGTAAAGCCGCCTCACATGCATTCATGTTCTGCAAAAGTCCATCAACAAGCAGAGTATAGTAGTCTGGGACGCACCCCTTCGTCGCATACGGTGTCCACACGACCACCTGGTGCGCCCCTGCACAAGCAATGCGGCGGCCATCAACTGAAATCGCCAACGCCTCTGGATTTGGCACCTTGTCGCTTTCCAGCCCTTTGACACGTGCAGACATTCGCAAGGGAATCACCATGAGACATCCCCTATCATTCAAGCCCAACTGCTGCAGCCGGTCTTTGCTCCTTGCAGTGGTTGTTCCAGTGATGACGTCTTTTGCGAGCCATGCACAGTCATCTGATATAGTCATGTGCTCAGCGATGTTGTCGGCATTTGACAAATCGACGTTCTCTTGAGGGCCGCACACAATAGGCAGCCCCCTGGTGCCATCCCAGCCAGCCACAGCAAAGGTTGCATCGTTTGAAACATTCTCAGGAAATATGAGAACATCTGTCAGAGGGCACAGAAACTCAACACGCCTGAGCTGTGTGCGGCTGGGAAGGTCAATAACGATGGCAATGTTGGCCTCTGTCAGCAGAGTCGCGGTTGATCCATCTGCTTTGAACATACAACCAGAGCATTCCTTGGGTCGTAGATTGTCCATCCAGTGCGTTTCCCTGCAGTGTTCTGTGTCCAGCCAGATGAGTGACCCAGAGTCATCGCACACCACCACAGTCTCCCTGCCTTTCCCATCCACAGAGAAGACAACACCAAGGCAAGTGACCAAGGAGTTCCGCAGTCGCCCCAGGGTTGCATTGGCATGGTGCACTCCTGGCTTGTCATCGAGGTGCCACATGAGCACACTGGCATCCTCCAGCACTGCTGCCAGGCGATGACCGTCATGGGAAAAATTGAACGAACTGAAGGGCCAGGAGTGCGATGCATCCTTTTTGAGGTGGAGCAGAATCTGGGATTTGAAATCCAGCACATGCATGTTTGCCAGGCCTTTGCTGATCATCCCCAGCTTGTCCCCTGCCAGAGAGAACCTCAAGTCGACAATGGGATGGCTCTCCCCTTCCCGCTGTTCCAAACTGCTCAATGACTTGTATATGGACCCATCTGATGCCTCCTCAGGAATTGTGTAGTGGTACATTTGCCTTCCTGACCCAAGCTCCGAGCTGCTACAGATCGCCCCTGTGTCCCACAGCAGGGCACCAGCGCTGCCGGACATCACCATTCTGCAGCCAGGCCCCCCGAAGCTGAGCTTGTAGTCCTGAACCATCTTGTCTGGCAGACTGATGTTCAGGAAGGTCACACCCTGCACTGCATTCCAGATGAATCCCTTGTTCTCCTCAGCCACATACAGGCCAAGCCACTTTCGGTCTGGCGAGATGCCCACGCTCTCCGTCTCATTGCCTGCAACAAATTCACCCACCCAGTTTGCCAGTGCGTTTGTCATTTTAACTCCAGTGTGCAACGTCTGAACAAGTGTGTTCGTTTCCACACTCCAAATTCGGAACACAATCTCTTTGCCCACAGTACAGACAGCAAGCTTGTGGCATTCATCCCCAACTGGTGATGCCACGAACCTTGCCCACAAGGCATTCTGCGAATCCTCAAACAAAGGCTTCCGAGCTTCATACTTGGGGCCCATATTTGGATGCTCCTGTACTCGGTCCTTGAGCCGAATTCCCATCTCCTTTTGATGCTCTTTATCCCAAAATAAGTCGTCTGCACTATTTATCTTGGACCTGATGTCGTCAACATCCCAAACGAAGCACGTGCCCCTTGAGGACCCTGCCCGGACACTTGTCCGCTGAATGAACGGGTCCCATGTCACCACCAGGCTGCCATCCCATGACCAGCTCCCAAGACTTCCAGAAAGGGAGATGCTCGTGCCAGGCTTGGACCAATCCGGCCACAGGACCACCGATCCAGACGCCTTGTTTGACAAGGAGTACAAGCCAACAAGCACCCCCCTCCCATTCTCAGAGAAATGCACACCATTGAGAGTCTTGGGCACATCTGGACTCCAAACAACAGTAAGCTTCTGCTCCCTTCTGAGGTCGACACCTTTCCAGCCAGAATCCATCCTGTACACATCGAGGTACGCAACTCGCAAGCCTCGATCTTTCCGGAGAGAGAGAAGCTGTTTCCTTGAGGTACGAGCTGCAGTTGAATCACGCCTGTCGAATGGTATCACAGCCCTTGAATGGACAGTGAAATCCACAGGCGTGTTTGAAGCCAATCCCATCACAGTGCCATCCTTGCTGAACCCAATTTGGCAGAGGTCTGGATCAAGGGCCTCAGCACCTTGCTCTTGTTTCAGTTCATTCTCCACTGCTTCCCTTGTGGTCAGATCCCACCGCACAATGTGGTACGCAGTGTCAACTGAGGCAACAACATTGTTTGAGACACCGATGAAGTTGCAGGCCACGATCTGTGACACAGAACATGGCGATCACACAGCTGCTGATCTGGCACACCCATCTGATGCTATTGGGCCGCATATATGAGTACTATCAATGCCCAAGGTAGGATTTACACAAAGTACACATGTTTTGAGGACATGCCAAGAGCCGCAGCAAGTGAGCTTTGCAAAGTGCCAAAATGCTGTCCAGGATCCTCTGCATCACTCCCGTATTTTGGGGCACAAGTCCCACCAGATGGTGTCAGGATCAGCATTCATGAGCAAAACAAAAAACGACTTGCAATCGAGATACCTCCAACTATTTCCATGCTGCTGCCATGACTGCTGTTGGACGTTCAACATTGAGAAGCCATGGTACTGGAAGATTGTTGAACAACATGTCTGCACTGCCACATCGCAGCCCATCACGATTGCATGCAATGACAGTTGCAGGTAGCCAGCCAATTTGCAAGCCCACAAAGAGATTCCACAGAATACAGAGTTGCATTTGTCAAAGTGAGAATCAATATCGCACAATGGGCTCCCCTTCTCAGAGCGACTGGCAGTCTTCTCTTACATATGTAAACAAATGCTGCAGAGGACACTGGTTGCAGAATTACCCTTGACAGCACTGTCCACAACAAGGCAACGCGCTTGTGGCTGGCAGCACACCTGGCATTTGTGGCGATCCTTCAGGGTTGTGAGCAGGTTGCCATGCTGGGCATCCCAGACACACACATCACCATTTGTGTATCCCGTGAGCAGTCTTGTGCCATCAGGCGAGAAAGACGTGTGGGTGATCTCAGGGACCTCCTCCTCTGAGGTCGACGATGCAACCTCCTCAACGGGGTGACCCAACAGCCTGGGGGTCCGGGGGGTCAATCCCGCACGAATCGCCTTGGAGTGCTGCCTGCGTCCAGGAATATCAGGGGATCCCAGAGCAAACACAGGCACCCCGTTGATGACCTGGTAGTCGTCGAAAAAGGACAAGGCTGTGTCGATGAAGCGGCTCACACCTGAGCATGACCACAACACAGCAGCAAATCAGGGTGCGGAATGGCAATAGCGTTGGGTACATCGGCACTAATGAGGCCGAAGCAAACGATGATGTACGCTGAAAAACCTTCACACGCCAGTGGACCAAGGAGGAAGATTCATCGCTGCCAAACCAACGAAAGCCAAACTGGTATTCGCTCAAAGCGGCCGTTCACACCCGTTTGCGCGCAACACCCACATGTGCCACTCTTACGCCCCAGAGACTGCCTTTCGAAACACAGATTCCTTCCATTTATCCAGTCAGAAAACAATTATCGGACCGAAGCCGTCCTGCTTAGCTTGCACCCAGCCACCACAGAACATGCATCCAGGAATGTTGGGCGGCCCAAGTCGTCGGCTGCAGACAGCACGCAAAGCACCATAGGCTCACCGGCGTGCTTTTCCTGAAGCGCCCTTGTCGCCGACGCGCCAGTCGTCAGGTAATCGTCAATGGCATCCCACGTTTGGAAGAGAGCCGAATTGATCCAATCGTACAGGCGCTCCACATGGGCCGACACATAATCGAAGAACGACCAAAACATGGCACACGATGTCAGAGGGCCTGCACCACACGTGGGGCCCTCACACAACGGGATCGACCGAGCCCCAACCTCGGACACTCCACTCGGCTGTCTAGGCCGCTCGCGAGGGAAGCAAGGAGAATTTGCCATCCGCTGTCAACGTCGATCTCCCCCCGCCCCAGTGGTTTAGACATACACACAGCTGCCTGCTTGCAATCTGGTCTGGGCCCATCACAACGCGTCAACATCGTCCGCAGCGCGGGTGCGGCGGCGTCTGCGAATCTTCAATAACGGATCGCCGCTCTTTAGAGCCGCTGCTGCCGCCCAGAGGCCCAGCGCTATATGTGCCACATATGGCTTAGCTTCAGGGAGCGGGCACTTGATGTGGGACACACCCGTGACCCACGCGGACGGCCAGCCTCGTCAAGGACACGGACAGAGACGGCACAGACAACCGGGAAAGGTATAGCAAATCTCAGCGACGGAGTTCTCTCCGGCTGGGGCTCACAACCACTGGAGCACCCGCGCATCTCTGGCACCTCTCTAAAACCGGGTGTCGACGACCGCACGCGGTGTAACAGCCCACCCCGCGGCGCCCACACCAGTCAAGCCCCCTCCCCGCTCCCCCAATGCCGCAGACACCGATCCATTCACAGCTTTCAAGGCGGGCCAGCCCCTTCACACCGCGACTTTCGCCGCCGATTGCACGCTTCATGTCACGCTGACGTGCCCGTCAGGGCAGCCCCGTCACAAGGCTCTCCAAGCTACCCGGGCCCAACACCCAAAACGACAGCCTGGGATTTCCTCGCGGCTCCCCGGATACCTTCGAACCGATGGGCAGACCGTCAACGCGTTCAAACCCTCAGAATGGGATCTTCGTACCTGACCCTTGCCCGCGGCGCTAGGCGCGCCTGCGGGGGCAACGCCCCGGATAGTGTGGCCCGGCCGGCCTAGGTGCCGGGAGGGGGAGGCAGGGGATCCAGGGCCGCCGCGTGGAGGAGCCGGGTGCGGAGCGAGCACGCCAAGAGAGAGTTGGATTGTTGGGGGAGAGGCATCCCGCAGATTTATGGGCCGCGCCAGACCCTTGGCGGGGTGCGGGAACGGGCCAGGGAAAGGGGGGGCCTGGGGATGAGGAAGATTGGGTGATGGTAAGTCAGAACTGGGGAAGAAGCTGGCGGGGGCGGGGTTTGACCCACGCAAAGGTATGGTGTTAAAGTAGGCGCTGGCCGGCAAATGTGCGGGGTTGGGGTGCGTGTCACGAGATGGCGTGGGCCCTGCCGCGGCCTGGCAATGATGCCAGCGTGACGCGGACGCGGATGACCCGCCCCTCAGGCGATGGGGTGCGCTTTGATGACCAAAGATGAACAATGTCTCCAAGGGTCCATGTCGGCGTCCAACTTCTGTTGAAGGACACAGCTTGTGATCGCCATTTTGTGGCCAACACATCACAGTCCTTGTGAAACTGACTTGTTACACCCCTTTTCTTACAATATCAACACCACAATTTTGCCTCCGTCCACTTCCGACCCAGGGACAACAGTGATCACCACTCGTAGTTGTGAGGAGCATGGGTTGATTGGTGACGGGTAGTACTTGGGAAGAAGGGGCAGTGAAGGAGTGGGACGGTAGGAGACAGATTGGGAGGTTAGGCGTGAATCGGGTGGCAGTGCGTGAGTATGGGGGAGTGAGGGAGTTAGTGGGTAGGGACCTCAGGAACGCCGGCGGGCGGACGGGTCCAGGTAGGCCGGCCTAGAGGAATAGGTGCGGGCAGATTGGGACAGAAAGAAGTGAGGGGACGGGTTAGTCAGTTTTGGGTAGGTCCTCGGGGGTTCATCCATAATAGAGGCAAGGTGTCGATCGGGACGTGCGATTTGAACACGCTGTCAATCCACCTGTACACGCTGATGAGCTTTCCGGATTTGGAGCGGGTTTATATATGGCTGGACGTGCTTTGTAATGATACTGGGATTACGGACCACGAAGGTCACTGGCCTCGAGGGTTTGTCTCACACGCACAATCCTCTGCCGGGCATCTGCGAGGGAGCCGGCCGCTGTGCTGCCTAATCGACGGGCACTGGCGTAACAGTGGTTGTGATGCCGGGACCCTTGCAAGGACGTCGAGGAGGAGCGTGGAGCGTCCATCGGCAGCGAGAGGCTGTCCGAGGAGCGATTGGTGGCGGTGTGGTGTAAACTACAGGGGGTAGTTAATGTTTCTCTATATGGGATCTGGGAAGTGGAGTGTACAATGGTTATAGTATCTCATGCGAAAGTAGACTCAATTAGGAGTCCATAGGTTTTTGAACCACCCTAATTGGCTTAGCGGTTGAGGAGATATGGTTAGTTGAATATCTAGTACTTTAGGGCCCTCTCCTGGACCGTATTGGGGGATGAGATACTATCGCTGGACATGATACGATACGGTGCGCTGAATTGTCACGTGACACGTGCTGGTGGCCGCCCCAAAAGGGTGACCACCTGACGCAGTACTGTGACCGTTGTTTCCCCTGTCTCGCGCCTCCCAGCGGCCGCACCCGTGAGCCGCACGGCGCCGTGCACCCACCGCGCGCATAGCCGCCCCGCGCCCGGCCATCTCTGCGGCCTGGGCCCATGCTGCGTACCCGAAGACACGAGCGCCCCGGAAAGCCCGTGTGGTAATGTGGTAGCAGCCCATTAGTTTGTTGTTCTGCCGAGCGGAGCTCAACCCGTTGCCAAAGTCGTGGAGGCCGTATGCAGAGCGAAGCGGAGCAGGCCGGAACGACTTTGGCATAAGGGCCGAGCGTAGCGAGGCCTTTAGCCGGAAAACGGGTTCGGCCAAAATGGAGTTTCTTAATGAAAACAATGACTTTCATTATTTGGCCGCCACATGTAAGAGCGCCAGGCGGCGGCGCCGATTGTAGTTCGATTGTTCTAGAACGCCTGCCTCC